GTATATATATATATATATATATATATATATATATATATGCGTGTGCATCTTTATCTATATATATATATGCATGCGTGTGTGTGTATATATGTGTATGCATGTGTGTATATATGTATGTTTGTATATATACGCGTGTGTTTGTGTGTGTATATATACGTATATGTGTGTGTGTGTGTATAAGTATAAAAGAGCTATGTTTTTCACAGTTCCGAAGCGTCGACTTTTAAAAACAACGCCAAAAATCACACAAGTTGGCAAGACTGATGTCTCCTTGCACAAAATGTGCCCCTGCCGCGGTGCAGCGCTTGCATTTACGCATCCAACCCTGCCGTGTTGATTTGCTTTCTGTGCCGCTGGTGAGGCGGAGACGGAGCTGATTCACTGGCTCCGCAGGAAAGGTCCTGTGCGGAGTACGACTCGGTGCCTGAAACTTCTTTTCTTTTAAGGATCCTGCTCGGGCGTGTTTGCCGGCATCAGTGAATTTTGTTCTTTAAAAGCACATGTTATTAAGGAAAAGTGGGTGGGGAATCGCTCCTTTGAAAAAGAAACTAATGTCCTTCGTATGTTCTTGTGTCTTTGTGCAGTTAAGTTTTTAGAAGTTATTAAACCTTTCTGTGCTGTTCTACCCGAAATCCAGAAACCTGAAAGAAAGGTGAGCGCTGTGCTATTTTTTTTTTCCTTGTACCTGGCTGACTGATAGGTTTGCAGAGGGAGGCTAGAATGGTCATTGTGATTATTTAGTTTGCTCTACTATATAAATACAAGCCACAAAACTTCCCTGAATGAATTCCTGTTGGACCAGGGCAGTGATTCCCAGACTGAAGAACCCTCTATTCTCAAACTGGTCAAGTCACCTCTTAACACTCTGGTTAGACTAACTGGATTGAGCTTCTTGAGTCTTTGAATATAAAGCACCTTTTCCAGTCCTTTAATCATTCATGTGTTTCTTCTTTGAGCCCTCTTCATACATCCAAGGGGTTGCATTTTAGCTGCAGGACTGCAGTAAAGGCTCATCTTTAGCTCATTATTTCCTGCAGCCACCAAAGCTTTTCAGACTTGGGGGTTTTCTTTGTTCCTAGGTAGGACCTTACTTTTAAATCACAATGGTTGTGTGCCTACAGCTTACCTGTTGATCCAGGTCACTGTATCAGTGACCTTCCCTCTTTGTTGTGTTCCTTTCTTCAATTTTGTCATCCACTAATTTAATCAAATTTGATTTTGTTGTATTCAAAGTTATTGATACCCTTTGCCAATTCATCTTCAAAACTTCTGTTTTTTGTTTTGACTTTGTCACACCAGCATAGCTTTTTTACTCTTGTTTAAAGTTGTCCTTTTCTGGTACTGAAGCATCACCTTGCTTGCGTAGAAGGCTGGGCAGGGTGGCATCTTCAAGATGAATTTATTCAGATAGACTTTAAGTTTTCATAGGCTACAGACTACTTTGTCAGGTGTCTAGAAATGCTTATACCTCTCTGAATTATTTAGTCTTTAATGTGGTGCCTTTGTCCGTCTTCTGCCTGCCTTCAGACTAACATGGCTAACTACATCTCTCTACTTATACTTGGGTGGAGAGCAAAGAAACATTGATTTTAATTGCTGCAGGTTTGAGTGCCTTAAAATTGTAAGAGAATGAGAAGGAGATGAATGTATTTTGAGGCCACAGAGAAACTGTTGGGCTGCCATAAAATCCTGTTAAGCCTTTTCTATTTAAAAAGTAAATCTAAAGTATAGATGCCAGTTGATTGATGCACTTGATTAAAATGGATTAGCAGTGTAAGAGAGCGCTGTTTAAAACCAGAATGCAATGTCATTTAGCTTTTTCTGTTTGTTACTTTAGTATGTTCTGCATGATTTTTGGCTTGAAATTATTTTTCAAAGCAATATTGTATCTGTAAATATCTTTGATATTTGAAATACATGTCTGCTTGCAGTTCCTTAAAACGAAACCAAGAATGACCTGTTTTACTGCTGTGGTTGATAGATATATAGCCTGGGAGCCAAGGGAGCTCAGCACCAATAAATTGGGGCAGTAATCCTCTTCTGTGCAGAAAAATTCAGTTATTGGAGCTCTAGTTGAGGGTGTGGGAAGTTTATACTCCCCATGGTATGACCTGCATTCATAACTCTTTATGTAGCTAATGGATATCTATGTGCAGACTTCCTAATGTAGTTTACTATCATAAATAGAAGAGTGGAAACCTGAACACACTGTCACAAATATCAGGCTGTCTGCACCTCTCCTGTCTCCTGGACTCCCTCAGAGTGCTTCAGGCCTCCAGAAGTCACTTGGCTCAAGGTAGAATCATTGAATTCTCCTACTGTTAGTCCAGGGCCTAGCTGCACTATTTAATGTATCAGCCACAATAACCGCCAGTAGATCTGACTTGCATCCAGGTTTTGCAGTTTTTTTCCCTCTGTGCACATCTACACACTTACATTAATGCACAGTAATAAACTCTGGTACACATCATGCGAAATTTATTGCTCCCAGGCACCGGATTTACACTGCATTTACATGTGTGCCCGGGACCGCAGCATGTTGAGCCAAGTTGGAGCAGCTCTGGCTGGCAGGTAGCTCAGGGGGTCAGCCTGCTTCATTGTGCTGCGAAGAGGCTGGCTGGGGCATGAGGGTGCTCTGGTGTGGGGCTAGCTGGCAGGCAGCCCCCGCACTGAAGCATCCTTGTGTCCCAGCCAGCCAGATCAGCATCTATACAGGTATTGCTCTGCACGAAAAAACTCTGCAGCAGGATAGAACTTGTAAATACAAGTGTTATCCTGCTGTGGAGTTTAGGTTGCAGAAAACTAATAATAGGACTGCACACATAGGGGGCAAGATGTTTACTGCAGAATTAATTGAGCATCTCTGTAGTAACTGTCACACCCTCTGACAGCCAGTCTTTTTAAACAAAGTATGATTTATAACAAAAACATTCAGAGAAAATGGGTCTTAGAACAACAAAAGGGACTGGCCGGGTATCCTAGAGTCAACCATGTTGGGAACCTTGTAGGTTTAACTTCCTATCGACTTCCCCACAAGTCATCTCTCTGCTTCTCCCAGATTTTCTCTGCATAAACTGTATCTCCTCGGTAATCTTATCACCTGCTGTCAAAGGTGCGAAGTCACTTTAACTCTTGATAGATATTTGATCTGGTAACTCCCAGCTTTGGGAAAGCAACTTATTGGAGGCAGCATGTAGGGTCTTCAAAGCTAATTGTTTTTCTCATCATCTTTCGAGTGTGTTCTGCCATGTTGTTACTTTCTGGCACAATACCATTGAATGGGAGTACTAGAAGCGAATAATAAATATTTCACTAACCCCAAAATAAAGTATATATAGTTTATCTTAATAACTAGATTTACACACCCAAATCCTTCAACTTAAAGGTAATTGTGCAATAGTCCCTTTTGTATTGATCAGAAAATCATATTAAACATTATTCAACTTTAGAAGTCTAGTTTTATTGTTGAATACTTGGGCCATGTAAACAATACAAGATAAAGCATTTAATTCTAAGCATGCTAGTAGATTATCCTTCTAAATACAGCCTGTTGACACAAGATTTTGATTAATTCTCATCTGAATTCTGTTCTGTAGATCCAGTTCAGAGAGAAAGTGCTATGGACAGCTATCACGCTTTTCATTTTTTTGGTGTGCTGTCAGGTAGGTAATTTGGAAAAAGCCCTCCTATTTTTGTTTTTCCATCCTGTTATACATATGTTTGTCTTTCTCTGTCAACTTGAATCTAGTATCTTTTGAAAAATTAATTAAAAGTAGCTTCAGCTACCACACCTCCTACTGGACTCCTCTTCATGTTTTTGTTTGGTTTTAATAGCTTTCCTCTTTATATAGGTATATGTAATCTTACTTTTCTGCTGTAGGACAGACTCCTACACACAAAATACTGTAAACCTCCTGCACCAACCATCTCTTTGTCCTCTGACCTTTATCTGTCTCCGTTTTAAGTTTTTAGAAGCTTTGAAGACCTCTCTGATTGTCTGTAAAAGAGAATTATACAAAATGGTAAAACTTCCTTCCCTGCCTTCTGCCTCAATGTTGCAGATTACAGACTGATCCATTCAGAGAAGCATGAGCTTTCATAGGCTACAGCCTACTTTGTCATGCTATGAATGGACTTGTAGAGTGCAGGTGTCCTAAATAGAAAGGAATACAGGTTTATTTTGTGCAGTCAGTGTTAGTGTTTGAAGAGAAAAATATTGAAATACATTTTCATAAGCACTGTACTGGTGTTGGGTTACTGCAGCGTTATATCTTTAGATTAGTGCAAGATTCTTCTGTATTGAGTGTGTATGTGTATCCACATCTATATAAATATTTCATGCAGTCTGCCTTGAGATGTGTTGATATTGCTGTGCATTTTAACAGATACCTTTGTTCGGAATCATGTCATCAGACTCGGCAGATCCTTTCTATTGGATGAGAGTCATTCTTGCATCAAACAGAGGTTAGCGGATTTGATTGTTTCTCCTCTCTCATACTGTTTCAACATGACCAAGCATGATAGACATACTATAAACATTAAACATATTTTTGAAATAGGTGATTTCATGGAACAGATGTCAGTAAAACACTCATTCTTTAAGGTGGATTGTAGTGCTTTAAATTCATGACAGTTGTGGTGATCTTGGAAAGTATCTTACCTTGAAAATAGGAGTATCCTTTGAGGAGCAAAGGAGGTTCAACTAGAGCGAAAGACTCTTGGAAAGCGTATCTCCTACCTGAGTGTAGGTGTTTTGCCTAACTACCTGGCACTTCTAATGATTCCTTCTTATTAACTCCACTTGTATTTGTGGTGAGATTGAGCAGAAAGTGCTTTACAAAGACTTCTGAATTAATGAACAAAGTAATTGTACAGGTGGGGAAGCTGGGGACCTAGAGGTTAAGATGCTTGGCTGAAATCACAGTGTACCTGTGGCAGAACTACAGGATTAGGACTTGTAGCTCTTAGTCCTTGCTCATCAGACTATGCTGTCTCTCGCTGATTTGATCTGTATCGTCTTCAATTTGTAACAGTCTAATTCTCTAATATCATTTTATTAAACTTTGTCAGTAGTTTTGTGACTGTTAATGCAGTACAAGTGAGAGCCGAGTAACAGACTTTGTTAAAAACTGTCTTAATTTTCTCTCTTTGTACAGGGCCTAAAGTTAGACCTAAAGAAGGGTACTAAGTGACCCAAAGTTTGTCTAATGGCTCTCCCTACTATACAGTCTAATGACAGATATCAATACAAATCCTTGCGCTGAAAGTTTATCTAAGTTTATCCATGTCTGAGACCTGTGAGTGCTACTGTAATGCAGATAATTGGTTCGCATCTATTTTTCTGTCTTTAATGTCTAGATAAATACAGGGTGAAAAAAATTATTTGAAGTGGCCTGTTCTACATTAGACTTGTAAAACATGCCAGTACCGATACATTTTTCATTCTTTCTCAGAATTAAGATTGACTATGAAAACAGCATAAATAAACACTGAATCGGCCACTGTTTGATTTTGCTCCTTCGACTGTTTGGTCCAGATTTTTGTGTTTAAAAACTTTTCTCACTCTTTGCTGATTCACAGAAAGATTTTTTTTTCTTGTGAAGTCCTCTTTTGTCATGCTGGCTCTAAGCCCAAACATGAAGATATAGAAGGCTATTTACATAGGAGACAGGAAAGTTTAATGCACAGATGAGATGGGCTGTTTCGCACAGATTTTTACATTAGTTCTGATCCAGTACCACCACAAACTGCTTCATCGGTAAATGTGCGCATTGGAGCTATCTAAGAAATGCCTCTCTGTTGAGCGAAGTGTTCAAGTAGGTAGCACCTTGTCCTCAGTGTCAGTGCTGAAACAATATTCTAGCAGGACATAGATAAAAACAAAAAACATTTAATGAACGTTTGACCCTCTTCTTGAGAAAAGGCAGTTTCATCTCACTGTCCTTTCTGGATTCCAGTTGAGAGATTGCATTTCACCTTCCTAAAATCCTGCACTTTCAACTGGTAGTTCAGTGATCATTACTGCTGACTTGGCAACCACTTGTAGTCTGCAGGTTTCTTCCTGATGCTCCACAAAACGACACCTTTTCAAAAACCAAGTTGCTGAGGGCTAGTGGCGGTGAGAGGAGAGTAAGACATGAGAGGACTTTTTCCAGTAAAACTTAAAAATACTGAAAAACTATTTATCCCATTCAGCCCCTGTAACACATCAGATTTTGATCTTACTAAAATTTCATACAAATGTTCAAAGTGAAGGATTACAAAGTTTTCTTCGCATTGTCTTCAGGGGTACAGGTTTTGAGAGAACATCTTTCTGTAATGAGGATACGGCAGTCTTTTTGTTTTTCATAACTGTTTTAAAACCTCACTGGACAGAAAGTGCTATTGAAAAGATATGAAGAATTTAATGGCAGGTCAGAAACCTTTCACAAAGCCTGATACCTTTGTTGTGTGATCCTTTTCGAGGAGAAGGAGCTTGGCTGAGAGGTTTTCTTAATTCTCCTTCCTCTTCAGGCACTTTGATGGAATTGGGTATCTCACCCATTGTCACATCTGGTTTGATCATGCAGCTGTTAGCTGGAGCTAAGATCATTGAAGTTGGTGACACTCCAAAAGACAGAGCTCTGTTCAATGGAGCACAGAAATGTGAGTAGTATTCTGGATACAATTGCTACAATTCTTGCTAATTGTGCTACCTGTGAGGGGTCCTTGATATGGTAATCCAGCAGCTGTCTTTAAATGGGTGTTGCTTTCTTGTTCTGTTTCAGTGTTCGGGATGATTATTACCATTGGGCAAGCCATTGTGTATGTTATGACTGGAATGTATGGCGATCCCGCTGAAATGGGAGCTGGGATTTGTCTCCTTATCATTATTCAGGTACGTCATTAGCTTGTCCTAATAGCATTTGGAATCCTCTGAGCCATTTACAGGTGGATGGAAAAGCTTGTTCCTCACAAACTGTTGGGTTTCTTCTCTTGGATTGCCCTTTTCTCACATACTCTTAATACTGCAAACAGCACTTTCTAAATGTATAATATGTGCATTTGAAGGGTGTAAAGTTTCTCAGAAGGGAGAATAGGCCGGTGGTGATTAAATGTTCCAGATGTTCCAAATGAGCAGCTTGACTTTTATCTTCTTCATCAGACCTATTAATTATTAAAATAGAGGAACAGAAAGCTTTGAAAGCAGTACATGCTGAATAACACTTGAGGTGACTTCTGATCAAAGAATGCGAATGCTGTGCAAAGAAATCTTGGCCTTTAGATCAAAGTAGTCAATACACAAACCTAAAAAGTCAACACAAGTCACATCTATGTAAATAGGATTTATTGAGCAATTGGATTACTGGAACCAATATGGAAAATTTGTGTAAAACACAGTGAAGCCTCTGGCCCTTTTATTGACTTCGGATCAATATTGGGTTGGCTGGTAGGAATAATTTAATACATATAGATAGAGGTGCACCAATATATCGGTCTGTATCAGATTGGCACCACTAAAAGGAAAATTGACATTATTGGCAATCAACTTTTTTGGCCAGTAATGTCACCGATAAATGCTGTGTGCAGGTGCAACATGCATGCAGCCAGGAAAACAGCCCAGCACCTTGGAGAGCAGCATGTGTCCAGTAAGTCTGTGGGGGAAAGGGGCATGGGGGCAGGGGGAGTGGGTTGTAAGACAGAACCATGGGTGGCTTGCCTGGGGGGCAGGGGGGCTCCCCACTGTTGCATGCACCCCTGGGGGAGGTGTGGGGGACATGTGCCTCCTGGATTTGTGTGTGGGGCGAGGGCAAGCTGCCCACTGTGGGTTTGGGGGCTGTGCCAGCCTCTTCCCGGTGGGCAGGCAGGAGCAGGACAGACAGCAGCAATGGTGGGAGGGGGGCTTTGGGGTGGGCTACAGCCACCCCAGAATTTGCCATAGCCACCCCTCCCATCGCTGCCTGGCCTGCCATGCACCCC